CAAATGGACAGCTTCTAATGGAGGTGCTCCAGCGTCTCTGAACCTGCTACCCGGCTGCCCGTCTGGCTCACGCACTCTCTGCTGAGCCCAGCACAGTGTATTCCGTCACATCTGACACGAAGGACCCTCTTCAGGGCCAGAAGCAGGCCCTGCAGCCCACATAAGAGTTCAAAGCATGCTTCCTCCCAGCACAAAATGTTACCAGTTAATGACAATTTCGATAAACAAAGCCCTTCCACCCAAGACTAAGTTCCTGAGGAGCGACAGGAGGGATATTCAAGAATTTGGCGAGGGCCGGGCCTTTACACTCGGTAAGGTCGCCCTGGCTGTCTGGGTAATGACAGAAGCTGCCTCCAGCTCGAAGCCCAGGAGCTCTTCTTCACAACTGTCTGCCTCCCATCACCACTCGCACCATGACTCAGAGAACACCCCAGAGGTGTGGGAAATGGTGGGCTGGTGTGGGCAGCTGAGACCACTTCACCTGCGAGCTCATGCCTCCTGGAGGACAAGCTGAGGTACGGCACAGCTTCCTTGGGTCAGGAGGCTGCGGCCGCGTCTGGCTTACGGCTTGCACGGCCTGAGTCTGGAATACGTTGATGCTTTGTAAGACTTGAGGAAAAGACAAATAGGCAACAGGATGCTGAAGACCGGTAAAAGCCTACGTACTTACTGTCTGGCTGCCTCCAGGTAGTCTGCCTACTTCTAGGTAGCAGCACTGTGGATTTAAACAACCTCTATGGGGCCAGGGAGACGGCTCAGCAGAATAAGCGCTTCCCTGGCAAGCACAAGGGCCTGAGTTCAATCCCCAGTTCCGCCAAAAAAAAAAAACAAAAAACAAACAAACAAAAAAAAACCCACAAAGAAACCCCCAAAAACCTGTAGGACAGTCAGCATCTACAATAACACAAGCAAAGGGGGCAAACATGCTTGAAATATCATTACTTTAATGCTCCAGGCATTGTTAAACATTCACAAAATTGCCTCATTTCCGAAATAATTTCTTTGTAGGTACAGATTAGGTGTCCACGATCCGAGACGTGTCCACCGCTCTGTGTTCTCTCCAGCACCCACATGCTACCTTGTCTGTATTGGTGGAGGCCCCTCTGCCACCCCCAGGACAGGACTGGCACCACCCGTCAACACCGCTGCCACTGCTTGTGAAAGTACTCCGTAGCTTTACGGCCCCTTGCTGGTTCTGTGGATCCCAGCACATCTCCGGTGCTCTCAGGTACTCCGCGCACCTGACCGTGTCCCTGGGGATCTTGCAGAACATCCCATCGGCTGGGACCGCGCCGGCGCTTGCTCTGCCTACCATACAAACACCGAGGCACTTAAATGTTCCCGGTAAAATGGGATCGATTTATCACGGAGGAGGTCAGTGTGAGGGAAAGGGCTTCTCTCTCAAAACTAAAACTTTCACACTCATTTAGGAGATTTATAAATCCACATGTTTATATTTGTGGTCAAGCTTCATAAACTTTATATTAAGCAGATCTGACTTTTCGAATGCTGTGAGAAGCAAATGGAGAACCTGCTTAGACAACAGTGGTTCGTACCACAAATATAGATGTCAGGATCTGGGTGTTCTTAAAGGGATGCCCGTTTCCAAAAAGAACTTTTTTTTTTTTTTTTTAAGCCTCTAGCCTTACATGATTCTTCCACATAATAATGCATTTATTTTCATCCTCTTAGGCAGTAATTCAAGGCATCTCAAGACAGGGCTGCTGCCTGTGGTTCTGGTTTAACTGCCCGGGGCCAGGAGAAAGTGAAGGTGTAGGCACCAACATTTTGTTTCCAAGGGTTTGCAGATGTTTGTAGAATGTAGTCAGCATGGTGTTCAAGGCTCTTGAGTTTTCCTGCTCTCTGTCCTCACAAAAAGCCCTTGAGGTAGTGCCTGGTCAGGAGACAATCACTTCCATGAGATAAGAAGCTAAGGCACAGAGAGGGGAGGGCTCCTCTGAAACTGTGGTCAAAGCACAGAGCCAACAGCGGGATTGACATCTCTAAGTAACAGCTCTTTACCTACGTGGACCAACCCTGTGACACCGGGGAGTCAGGCACAACCAGCTCTGCCGAGGGCCCCATGGAAGGGGTGGGAAAGCTCAGAGCCAATCTTCCGGCTAGAAATACATTGTAGCTGTACTTCCCACAAGTACATGTGAGGAAGCAATAGATTTGGGATTCTTCGAAAATCTATCAGGATCCACAGACTTTCTAACACCTGAATTCTGAGCTCCATCACTGTATAAGCCAGAACACTCCAGAATGTTCCTGTTATTTGGGTCCCAGAGCACACAGAAACCTCCAGGCTTTCCCCCTGCCAGCCCACCTACACTTGCCAAGAACCCAGACCCTTCACTTTCTAAACACGTGTGCCTCTTGCCGAGATGGGATCAGCTCTCACTCCATTCCTAGGAGTCTCACATGCTAACTCACCAGCAGCGCTGGACCTCCAGAACTGACTCCCCACTGGCCCTTATTTTGCCCTGCATTCAACCTACATTCCCTATGTTCCAGATATTCAGTGGGACTTGGCCTAATTCCCAATTACTGTGAGCACCAACCTGTTTGAGACCTTCCTCAATTCACTGTATTGGCTTCCCGTCCAATCACCCATCACTCTCTCTAGCACATAATTTCCAAGATTAGTTCTTTTTCATCGAAAGCTTTCACAGCTCATCATACCCAAGGAGGGGATGCTTTTCTCTCTACTGTAAAAGTCTCACTTGACTGCAGAACCCCCAAAGCAGAAAGGGATACTGGAACACACAAGGAGTAGACATGTCCTGGGGAGGAGTACAGATTCCTGTGTGTCTGCTATTATGATTTCCAGGGCATTGTAAGAAAAGCCCAGCCAGGCATGGCAGTGCACACCTGTAATCCCAGTGCTCAGGAGGCTGAGGCAGGAAGATTGCAGTAAATTCGAGTTCGCATTGATGACAAGAAACATCTTCATACTGCTAGTGATGTTGCCTCCCCAGAAGCCTCGCAAGATCTGTGCCTCAAAATATCGGCAGATCCAGTACTTAGAAACCACATCTTCCCTGTACACCTTTGTCGAGACTTAAAAGGAGCTGCACGGAGCTCTGAAATGGCCTCTTTCCCATCTAGGCAGGACACACACTTACTCAAGCGCCTCTCTCCTGATGCCTGTAGGCACAAGCAGACTCAGAGTCCTTCCTGTAATGGAACCTGCCCCACGAGGTGCGTGAAGCACGAGGAGACCCCAGAAGAGGGGAAGCCACCCGTGTCTGGCCGGGGCCATCTGAACACAACACGGGGCATGGAATTCTACCTTCCTGACCTCCAAGATTTAATAAATTTTAAAAAACTGAAGGAAAGGAAACTTTGCAGATCTGCAGTTAGTATTTTTTTTTTTTTAATTTGGTGCAGGGTCTCACTGTGCAGCTCAGACTCATAGTGACCCTTCTGTTTTCAGCCTCCCCAGCGCTGGGATTACAGGCATGTATCACCATGCTGAGACTCAGTGGCCTGCTTAGTGTGTCCAGTGTGGCATGTGGTGCCAGGGATCGAACCCCTGATCGCTGTGCTTGCCTAAGCAGGTGCTTTGCCCACTGAGCTATCTCACCGGCCCCATGCAGTTAGCACTCTGATTAAAACAAAAATAATTGAGAATCATATTTCAAAGACACCCCCCCCCAACACATCCAACCTATTAAGGAAAGCAAGATATTGTATGTTTTTTCCTCTCATGCTTATTGGAGGCTTCTAAGTTTGGCAGACTCGTCACTTTGTTTCTAAAACATGCAGAGAGCAGATGGAGTGCGCAGGGGACACAGCTTGGGCCCAATGTGGAGGACCCCCGACAGGAGCTCGACCCCACCCCACCAGAAAGCAGACAAGGACAGCAGCCTTTGCAGAGAGCTGCCGCACGGCGCGAAACTAAGGACTGTTGGTGCATGCTCGTCCAGGGCTTAGGAGGACAGAGTGTTGTAGAGGGGACGAGCAGGGGACACATGGGCCGCCTTCCAGGTGCTCCAACATCCACATCCACTTCATGTCCCAGAAAGCTGGGCTGCAGCTGGGCACAGAGCTAAGGCACTAAGGCTGCAGCAGGTGGGGGAAAGGCCAAGCAGAGGCCCTTGGTCTGCCAGCCCGGGGAGCAGGGGCTCTGCCCCAGAGTCACCGAGCTCGGGAGACTTCCCAAGGGTGGGCGCACGCAGGAGCCACATCCCTGTCTCCGCCCCACGGACGAACGCTCCACTCCCCACTCGGAGACACGTGCCTCAGTTTCCCCCGCTGCACCAGCACCGCAGAGAGCTCCCCAGGGCCGCTCCTTGGGCAGCAGGCTCTGGGGTCGCTCCCTCTTCTCCTGTTCTCTTCTGTCACGCTGTTCAAGTTGCCTCTCTTCCCCATCTTGGCCTGACGAGCAGCAGTCTGGTAGGTACCCTTGCCTTGCTGTGGAGCAGGGCTGTGGGCACTTCCCAAGGCAGCTCTGAGGGCCCCGCTGGTCACAGCTTGGTGAATGCAGCTGGCTGCTGCGGCTGCGGCTCCACATCCGGGGGCGGGAAGACACTGGATATGGCCAGGTCCACGATGCCCTGGCACAGCTCTGCATAGAGCTTCCTGAAATGAGTTTTTTAAAAATGTCATTGAGGGAGTTCATCAAAGTGCAAAGAAAAAAATTTTTTTTCTATTTTAACTAAGATCTGTCCCAAAAATTCCATCTCCTGATCACCTTTATAAACCTCATATCCCTGGTTTATAGATGCACAGCAGGAGACACTGCATGTAGATAAAGCATTTCCTCACAGATGTTCATAGAAGGCCAGAACAGACAATTCCTGCTGCAGCTGGCAGGGATGACAGGCCATTTCATCAGCTTGAGAGCCCCTTGCCCATACGTGAGTGTACGTGGACGTGCAGGCATGACCCAGGGAATCAACTTGTTAAGGTTCAGGGGACACTGGAAAGGTCCCATAGCTAAGCCAGGTCCAGAAGATAAAGAGAAGTTAGACAGATGAAAGACAGCAGCATAGATGAGAAAGGAGAAAGGAGGGGGAGGAAAGGGAGGGAGAGGAAGAGAGAGAGAAAAGGAGGGAGGGACGTCGGGTGTGAGTGCGCGCGTGTGTGTGTGCATGCACGCGTGCTGGGGAAAGGGAGAAGAAGGCTGCATGAATGGAGCAGCAGCACGCACCATGGAGCAGGAACTGAGTTGACTTGGAGAAGTGGCTATCACAAGTGGACTGGTGTACAGGAGGTCACATCAGGCCCCAAGCAAATGGGCCCCAGGTCTGAACTTCTTCCACAGGCAAGGGGACCACCACAGTGAACAAGTCAAAAAGAAAGCCTCCTTCTGAGCACTTTAGAGAGCTTGAGACCTCTACCTCCTACTTACCCTTGTAGGATTCCCTGGGGTAGCACCTAGGCCCTGGAGCCAGGCCCCTCGGGTCGACGCTAACCCAGGCAAAAGCCAGAGATGCGTGGGCCAGAGAGAAAACCCTAATCTGAGATGACCCTTTGGGACCGATGTGTCCACCCACACAACTTGTTCTGGACACATCTGGGATCCCAGCGGCTCAAAACAAGGGCAAGGGCAAACCAGCCCACCTAGGGTGGAGCTCTTCACTCTCCTAATTGTCAGAAAGTGTTGTTTTCCAATCCCCACCAGTCAGGACAGCCTCAAGGGCTTATTCCCGGCCCCACTGCTGCATGCCAGCCTCTCCCTTCAGCTGCCCACCACAGACCCTCTTATCTACTCCTGGCCCTGAGGCTGGTGCTTCTGTGTCCCCACCTGCTGGAGTGCCCCGGGAAGGAAAAGTTCATGCTTCTATTTTCTTTTCTGGGAAGTCCGAAGTGCTAGGTAACCCTCATTTCTCCTGCTATGGTTGCTTGGTCAGTTGGTCAGTCAGTCGGTCAGTCGGTCTCTGTCTGTCTGTCTCTCTCTCTCCCTCTCCTCTTTCTCCCCACTCCTCACTCCTCTCTTCCCTCTCTCTCTCTCTCCGTCCGTCTTTGTCTCTGCCTCTCTCCCTCTCCTTTCTCCCCTCTCCCCACTCCTCACTTGCCACTCCTCTCTTCCCTCTCCTCTCTCTCTCTCTCTCTCTCTCTCTCTCTCTCTCTCTCTCTCTCTCTCTCTCTCTCTCTCTCTCTCTCTCTCTCCCATCCCCAACTCACAGTCCCACACCTCTGTCTACACAAATCAAGTCTCATTTCCATAGTTTGGCATGGTCCGACTACTCAACCTCTCATTTCTGAAGAGACAGGAACCTGGAGGTCCACAGGAAAAGGGGTAAATACTAAATCTGGGGCTCAGTCAGTCACCAAGAGCCAAGAGCTGTCAAAATACACCATGTTCAGTATTTCATGACTCATCATAAGCCACCTTTGGGTGTAGCTTCTGCAGGGAATGCTGGGAAGAGGAAGACACAAAGTGGCTTCAACATGTTTAAGCCCACTCATGCATTGGGCATTTCTTTTCTTTCTTTCTTTCTTTTTTTTTTTTTTTTTTTTTGCAGAACCAGGGATTGAACTCAGATCCTTGCGCTTGCCAGGGAAGCACTTATTCCACTGAGCCATCTCCCTGGCCCCCGCGTTGGGCATTTCTGATGGAGGAGGACACTTGGACCCCCGCCCAGCAAAAACAGGTAAGTATGTGACACCCCCCCTCCCATAAAACAAAACAGGGAAGTCAATATGCGACCATGCACAAAAACATGGAACCCGCAGGTCATGAACAGACTGCCTATGCCCTCACCTCACCTCCTACCAAATCCCTTTCCTTTTCCTCCTTTAGGAAACAAGCAAAAAAGCATTTGAAAGTTACTTCCTTCAGCACGAGGCTGAGACAGCGTGATTCCATCTGCACTGAAACCCCTCAGCATGAGCCCCCAACTCCCACCCCAGGGGCCTCTCCACACAAAATCATGAACCTAACAGAGAGATGTTTTCTCCTTTTCTCACTGAAATTGAAGTACAAAATGATTCCTACTGAATTGGGCAGTGTACATATCTCTCCTTAAGGGGGTTTCTTTGGGGACACTGGTCTTTATCTGTGGTCTATACCCCACCCTGCCTAGGCAGACTCAGGAAAAAAAAAAAAAAAAAGGAATCCAGCAGACACTGAGGTGCTGGGCAGACCCAGGGAGCCTGAGTCCAGAGAAGACGCCACACAGGGCTGCGTCACTAACACCAGAGGGCTGGGCTGGGCTCCGGCAGGACCAGCCGCGTGACTGCTTGTGTGGAGCTGAGCGGCGAGAGGGAACTTAAGCACTGCTTGTGGGGAAAGGCCGTCGAAGCTGAGCTCTCACCTGAGCTAGGGAGGAGTCGCTGTGCCCATGCCCACCTCTGCGCTTGGTTATCCCTCCTTGCTTGTATGGCATGAAAGAAGCAGGCCTGCCCCTGGGCCAAAGCATGTAGGTTCCCAACATGAGTGGCACTGAGGTAGGAGAACTGGGCCCGAGCACAGAGTCTGTTCATGTGGGCATCGCCTGCTCTTGCCCAGCGCCCAGCACCAGCACAGAGCTGGGTCCCTGGATGCTGCATCCCGCTGAACACTCTCCCCATTCCCTTCGGGACGTGGCCCTCTCCCCAGCGTCACAGGGCCAGCCCGCGTCCAGACTACCTTCTGCCCCAGTGTGACTGTCTCTCCCACTCTCAGGATTGTTGCTCGCTCAGGTGAACACAAGAGTCTCTTGGGCAGTTACCAGTTTTGCTTGACACTTGCATGCGTCTGCCATCACCTGAAGGCTGGCCACCATATGGGACACGAGGAAGGTGACGACAGAGCTGAGCTCCCATGCCAGCCGGGGTCCTCGGAAGCACTCCTGCCCCATGGCAGCCTTCCCTCAGCAGTGCAGGGCTCTGCCCTAGGGTCAAACGCTGCCAAGTGCCAACCCACTCCCGCTTGTCAGACGCAGCGGCGTTCGGCAGACTTACTGAGCACAAGCCGGGGCGCCGTTGACCTCAATGAGCCAGACCTTCAGCTCCTCGTCCACCATGAAGTCGAAGCCGAAGAGCTGGAAGCTCTGGTAAGGGAGGTGCCTGGTGCTGATGGCCGGCTCCACGCTCAGGAGGCAGCTCCTGGAGGACAGGGCGACAGCCTGCTGAGGATGGGGGATGGAGACGGAGGGCGCAGAGCTGTGCTCCGAAGATCTGATGGCCAGCGTGCGTAAAAATGGGTTGCAATTGAATTCCTTTTTAAAAAATGTATCACCGAGCGAATGCTACGTATCACAGAGTTTGTTAGAAACGCATGCGACCACTGGGGTTCTTCCAGGCAAAGCTGCTGTCCCTGTCCCAGGTCCTAGGGAGCATGCCACAGAGTCCCTGTGGCCTCTCCCGATGCAGAGTCCTCCCACAGGGGAAGCTGGGGCTGCCGCCACATTTCTTGGTAACAAAGAATGCTAGTCCTAGTAGTTTCTTTCACTAGATCTGGTTCTACTGGCAAGTGTTTGCTACTTAAAAGGTTTATGAGTTATGCATATGAAAATCGAACACTGAAATAACAGCAGACCTTGACTTACGAACTCAATTCATTTACCAGGGCTGGTTGTAACTCAAGTTGTCAAGTGAGGGCTCTGGCTCCTCTCCACCCTTCAAAGTCCCTCTTCTGCACACAGCAGACCTCAGTGTCCTCAGAGGGACATGGGGCCAGTGTCTCAGGTAACCCCGTCAGGACAGGATGCTGTGATGTTCCTTCTATGACTCTCAGGGCTAGGTCTGTCTCTGGGACCATGTGGCGGCAGAAGTGGCCGGCATTCGGGAAACAGCGCAAGGCTTTGGTCTAAGTTAAAGCTGAAATTCCGGTCATGACCCTTTCCTGGGTGGAGTTCGTGGAGAAAGCCGGGGCCTGTGTCGCCCTGAGGAGAGACTCTGCAGACTACGAGGAGCCCAAGCCTTCAACTGGCTACTCTGAGTGCTAACAGTGTTCAGAGATAATTACGTAAGGAACTTGGCATAATTCTTGGCACTGAGAAGTGTGTCATAAATGTTCCTCCCATATAAAAGTGTATTTCATGAATTCACTATCAATGACACTAACTACGAATCTAATATTGATGAATAATGCACAGCTGCTAGCTATAACAAATATAGTAGTCCTTTGCTACTCTGTGGTTTGACTTTCACAGACTGTTTTGCAGGTTGTCAAAAAATATTAATTTATTTATCATGGATTTTTCGCTATATTGAGGCATTTTTGGTAGTGTATGGTACTTATGTGTATGTGCAGCATTTATGGCTTTAATGATTTTTGCCTAAAATTTTTTTAAGTGTATAAAAATATATTTAAAATGTTAATTCTAACATATTAAAAGAATATTAAAGGGGCTGGTGAGATGGCTCAGTGGTCTAAAGCACCTACTTAGAACAAGCTTAGCAAAGCACAGGAACCGCGGTTCAATCCCCCAGCACCACATGCCAGCCAGCCCCGCCCCCTGGTGGGCTGAGCTGGCCACACACACAAAAAAGAATATTAAATCAAAATAAAACACACTGTTTACAGTATGTATTTCTTTAGTGGATGAATACATACTGTACTAGTGGGCCGGGGCGATAGCTCAGTAGAATACACACTTGCCTGGCAAGCGCAACGGCCTGAGTTCAATCCCTGGTTCCGCCAAAAACAAAATAAAACAAAAAACCATACTGTACCATACAGTATATGTATCTTGTTAAAATTATGTAGTTGTATAAGTTTAGAAAATGGCCAAGAACATTAGAAGTGTTTTTAAAAGTGTGGGAAAGGTGTATAAGTGTAGGAAGGGTTTATAAAGCCTTAAAATATATATAAATACTAAAATACCACGTCTCTATTTCACGGATCATGGGGGTCTCTGGAACGTAACTTCCACAATAAGTGAGGGACACTGTGTCCCAGAGCCACAAGCCATTTCTGTTTGTTTGTTTTTCAGACAGGGTCTCACTGTGCAGTTCAGGCTGGCCTTGAGCACACTGCACAGCCCGTGCTGGTCTCAAACTCACACCGATCCTCCTGCCTCAGCCTCCCAAGTGCTGGGATTACAGGCGTGTGTCACCATGCCTGGCTTGCCATTGCTTTTTTTTTTTTTTTTTTTAAATTATTTATTTATTACATTTATTTATTGTGTGTGTGTGTGTGTGTGTGTGTGTGTGTGGCCAGCTCAGCCCACCAGGGGGCGCAACTGGCTGGCATGTGGTGCTGGGGATCAAACCGTGGTCCCTGTGCTTTGCCAAGCTTGTTTCAAGTAGGTGCTTTAGACCACTGAGCCATCTCTCCAGCCCCTGCCATTGCTTTTTAATGAAGACTTTCCCTTTCCCTGACTTTTCCCTCAGATGAACACTGGGCCAAGGTGTTCCGATGACTCAGATTCCAGAGGTAACTGTCCGTCCCTACAACTGTGTGTTTAGTAGGAAAAAGATTGGGAAACCTTTTTTCTCCCATGACCCACTCAAAAATGTATCCTTATCGGTAATTTCCGCCTCTTAACTTTTCAAAAGAAAGTATTTGTGTAGATATGTCTAAATCTTTTAAAACAGTCTTAGAGAATAAAAATTTCTTCTCCTGTTCATCTATAAACTACAGAGGAAGGAGCACATTCTTCTCCCCCGACCCCCAGTACTGGAAATTGAACCCAGGCAGCAATGGCAAACCTACAGACCTCCATCCCTGGCCCTTGTTTGTTCTGTTTTGAGTCAGGGTCTCACTAAGTTGCTTAGGCTGGCCACAAATGTGTGATCCTCCTGCCTCAGCCTGCCAAGTGGCAGGATTACACAGTCGCACTACCACACGCACCACATACTCTGTTTAAAAAATAGTGCCTATAATCCTAGCTACGAGGAAGCCTTAGGCAGGAAGCCCATCTGACTCAGGAGTTCAAGAACTGCTTGACAGCTTAGCAAACTTAGTGAGACCCTGGCTCAAAATAAAGAATAAAAAGCATTGGGGATGTACTCAGTGTGAAGTCCCTGGATTTGAGCCCCATTATCACTCCTACCCTAAACCCACAAAAATATAACAGCTTATTTCTACACTGAGACTCTTAAATATACTTCAATTAAAATATCCTTTAAGCCAGGAATGGTGGCATATGCCTATAATCTCAGCACGCTTAGCATTTGGAAGGATGAGGCAGGAGGATTGGGAATCCAAGGTCCCCGAGCTACCCAGCAAGTTGGAGGCTGTCCTGGACTACATAGCAAGACCCTGGCTCAAAAATCAAAAAAGAGCCAGGTGCGGTGGCGCACATCCATAATCCCAGCACTTGGAAGCTGAGGCAGGAGGAGCACTGTGAGTCTGAGGCCAGCTTGGGCTACATAGTGGGTTCAAGGCCAGCCTGAATTAAATTGGGAAATCCTATCTCAAAAAAACCAAAAAGAAAGGAAGGAAATGGGGGGGGGGGAGGAAGGCATTTAACATATAATTAAGATGTAATTAAGGAAAGTTTAAGAGAGAGAAAACCAAGAAAAGAAAGGAATGAAAGTGAAGTCAAAGGGCTGGCCAAATAGCTCAGTGTATTAAAGCACCTGTAAGCAGGTGCAGGGGCCAGGGTTCGATCCGCTGGCCTGCCATGCCGGCCCCACTCCCAGGCATGCTGAGCCGGCAATTGAGACTGGGCGTGTAGCATGGGCCTGTAATCCCAGCTCTTGGGAGGCTGTAAACAGGCAGATCACTGCGAGTCCAATCTAATAGTGAGACCCTGAACACCCTGTAGACCCTTCCCTAAAAAATAAAGTGAAGTCAGCAGCTGGGCATATAGCTCAGTGGCACAACTGCCTGCCTGGCAAGCGCAAAGTACTGAGTTCAATTCCTGGCACCAAAAAAAAAAAAAAAAAAAGTTAAGGCAGTATTACACTCTGGCACATAAAGGAAATACCGTAAGCTGGAACAAGCCTAAATATTACTTTCTATCTGTTGGAAACACAAGATAAATAATTCAGGACTGTTTTCCTGCTCCAAGACTACATGCGCTGCATCTTCTTGGGCTGGAGCACAGTCACAGAGAAGCTGCTGAATGCCCAAGGGCACTGACAGCCCCAAAGGAGTGACCCCGGCCCACCTGTCACCTAAGCCACCTTACCTGGTGTCCTCCAGGCCATCAACAACTCCTGGAGAAAGGACTCTAAACCCTGAGTGACACTACTGCACTTCATATAAGAACACATTAGAGAAGACACCTCAGTCACTGGGATGCAGCACCAATGACACAGGCCAATGAAAAGCAAGGGGTCCCGCGGACAGCGCCCCCTACTGTCTGCAGGCAGGGACAATCTCCTGCACGCACTGTCTTGGGCCAAGGACCTATCCTCCAGAGCAATGTAAGACTTGACAAAAAAACACTGCCATACAGATCATAGGTCTAAGCTACCAAAAATAAAGCCCAGATATTCACCAAGTACAGAAGCTATAAGCTCTGGAATGTCCACATGATGGAGCATTACACAGCCGTACAAAGGACAAAGTACTCTCTGTACAACATGAACAAATGCCACACGCAATGTAAAAAAAAAAAAGCTGGACATAAAACAGGAACTAGAGTATAATTCCATTCATATAAGCTTTGAACACAAGCAAAGAGGGCAGGGAATATAGTTCAGAGGCATAAGTGTTTACCTGGCAAGTGCAAAGTCCCGAGTTTGATTCCTAGCTACCACTCCCCAAAATAAATAAAACGAGGAATTTATAATGATAACAGTCAAGACTAGCTGTCTTTGGCAGGAAATAAATATCTTGAGGGTGTTCCAAGGAGTCTTTGGGGTACTATAAAATGCTTTTGGTGGTACAGGGCCTTTACACTGAGCTATACCATAGCCCTTTAAAAAAAAAAAAAATCTGGACGCAGGGTTTCACTAATCTGCTAAACTGCGCAGGCTGGGCTTGAACTTGTGATTCTCCTGCCCTGGCCTCTGAGAATGCTGGGATTCCTGGCGTGTACCACCACACACCTGGTTATAAATGTTTTGTATCCTGAGTTACTTCATGGGCAAGTAAGCACACATACAATGAAAAGTCACCTAATTGTCCACTGTGCGTGTTATACTTTATTTTAAAGTTCTCAGCAGGATTGGTGGCACATGCCTGTAATCCCAGCATTGAAGCTGAAATTCAATAGAGCCAAAGCTGAGTTTTAAAACATATTTAAAGAATTAACAGGGGCTGGTGAGATGGCTCAGTAGTCTAAAGAACCTACTTAGAACAAGTTTAGCAAAACACAGGGACTTCGGTTCAATCCCCAGCACCACATGCCAGCCAGCCCCGCCCCTTGGTGGGCTGAGCTGGCCACACACACACAAAATAAATAAATAAATAT